ATAAAATTACACGAGGCTGACTATTCAGCCTTGACCCCTAAAAAGTGCCAAGACCTCATCATAATGTTACTTCTACTCGAAATAATAAAACTACGAAGTCGTCCAAGGGTAATCTACGTTAAGACAAACAACATTTAGGAGCCAAGAGACGTCAATCTTTGGGAAAAATAGTAAAGTGGATGGAATAGAAAAGAATAGAAATTTTATTATGTCCCTACTGAGTCTATGACCATGAAGGACAGATAAAACTATCTTAACAGCTTTAAACTTGAAAATATATTTGAATACTGATATGTTCAATTTTCGCCAACAGATTAGTACTGTGGATGTCTTGGCTGATACGGTGTGATCTCTACATAGGCCGAGATCTATCAGTAAGTCGTATAATGATATAAATCATTTCCAGTTGATATTTTATAGTAATTTAAACTCTGTGGACTGATTTTTCTGTCGGAATACTTAAAGTGTAGTCACTTCCACCAAAGTTTAGGACAAGCCCAGTATATCCTGGTTTTTTTTCATTATAGCTTGGCAAGAATTAAAAATTAACTCTCATTTTCTTAAAGAGCATTTGTAATAAATCTTCAATTCTAGTCCTTGTTATTATGTATGTCAATATTTGACATGCTTCAGACGAGCAATTTGTGTGCCCTGATTAAGTATTCTGAAAATGTCTCCACTCGGATTAAGAGGTGGATTCTCTTAATTTCTTGACTTCAATATGTGATATCAAAGATTATCTCCTTAAATATATCAGTTTATGTCACCCTGAGTTTGCTATGAATTTCGAACTAGATAATCTGACAGGTCGTCATCAGGCCCTTGAGTGCTAGTATCACTCATTAGATTGATGAAGTTCCAAGATGCATGAGGCTTGGAACCAGAGATATAAAAAGATATCTGAAGTAGTTCAAGATAATTTTCCTTTCTTTTGGAAAGGGTAGGGGTTATCCGCGTGCAGTAACACAGTAAAATTTAGATGAAATGCATTTTTGACAGGCCATTGACATTTCTGAAGCTTTCTTACCCTGTAAGAATAATTTTGTTTTATCTAGGACGCAGATTTAGCCATCAAAGTTTATGAAATGAGAGAGTTTGAAAGAATTTAATGTATTTGTAGACCGGGCTTATTATGAATTCTCTGACAACTCCGACGACATCCAAGCCCTGGTAGCAAAGAATTATAAATAGAGAGTGACAATTAAAATTTATGAATAGATTGTATGGAAAAATAGACGGCCTAATCTTTTGCGTTGGGAGTCGTCTTGGAATTAAAGCCTAAATGAATATTTAAGACATGAATTGTGGATGCAAAGCCTGTAAACCCTTTTCGAATGAAAGAATAACGTTGGAAATATGTAGATAGATGGGCCTCAAATGAATATGTCGTATACAAAGGCACAAGATCTTTCTGCAGGGCAGTTTCTACCACCTTCCACGTCAGCCCCCACACTGGCGTTCCAAACCTCGGGGTGTTTGACACTCAAGATAAGAATGGTTGATCCTCCTGGTACCGATTCAAAGATCCAGGGATGAAAACTTGGCCGGAAATGCCCGATACCGTAGTATTGTTGGACCACAGTTTGACAGAATAGCTGCAGGGTCCTAATGAGGGTTTATCCAACCCTGGCAGATATTCTCTGGAGATCTAGAATCATTAAGTCCCGAGGTATTCAAGTTATGTTAGTTAGCTACGTCTAATTTAACCCCACCTAGTCAGCAAGCAGCTAACAAAAAAAAAAAAAAAAAAAAAAAAAAAAAGAGGAGGGCAAGACTGAACACCTGTACACGGTGTCCTCTACGAACCTGAGAGTGAAATATTCTCCCAGAGCCAAGTTCAGTCAAATTTCGCAATATCAAAGAAGTTGGCCCACGAGGCAAAGATTCAAATTACTCCACCATGTCAATCTTTCACTCTCAAAGAGTCCGATTCTCAACTAAGCTTCATCAAGTCTACAAGTACGACCTAGTACATCCTCGTTTCAATGACCACACCTCTCGTCGACTTTCTCTGGCCTCAGCCGGTCACCAAATACACGCCCACGCCGATATTTACACCCGACGGAGGAAGCAAAGCGTGGAGCACAAATCTGGGAGATAGCTCTTTGGGATGGACGTGAGAGGGATCAGGACAAGTTCACAAGATGATGCAGAAGAGGGATACGTTTTCGACGGGCGTGGAATTTTGAATTTTGGCAAGAGTTTTACGAATTGAGCTTTGTGCGCGCCAAGACTTCGCTTGCGAGAGTGCAGCTGACACTATAAAAACAAGCAAACGATGGAAGGTGTTGTGGTCTGCCTCCTGGTGATGTTCTCTGGTATGGTTTGAGTAGCCTGGGCACCTACTCCACTTGGGAAGGAGACGCCTAAGACTACATTTCGCGCGGAGAAAAGTTGATGGATGACGGAGGCATGTCTGGATAACTCAGGGTTTTTGAGACGTTCCCCTGGGTGGGTATTCACGGATGAGGGTTGACTTGGGGTGAAGAAAAAGCCACCATAACTTCGCAGTGGTACTTGCAAATGAAATCCGAGGCATGAGTGCTCCTCTTGTAAATTGAGTCATCTTTTCTGTACTTTTCTTTGATATTGTGTCATAGCTAGATAGCTGCATACGCAATTAAAATCTGATGCAAAAAAAAAAAAATAAAATAAAAAAAAAATAACAAAAAAGCAAACCTTTTCTTTCCGATGGATTGCACGTAGCTTGTCACATCATGACTGCTTAATTCTATCAGCATACGAGTGCGCGCAAAATCTATCGTCGACATGAGCTGATGAGTTATCAACAGCTCAGGAAGGCAATCAAGCTTTAAACCAACCTTGAGCCTCCGGGCTCCATGACCTTCTGGTTGACTCCAAACAAAATTCGTACTGAGATTCTTAGATGGCTGAAAAAGTCAATAATGTTGGATCCTAGCACCTTGAATCAGTCAACGAGTGGCGAGCAGCAATAAAACTATCGTGAGATGGCTGGGCCTTAATGTTAGTCAAGTTGTATACGACGCTGTATGGGCCCGTGGGTCTGGCAGGAACCCTCGACCACGAGGCTGTGGATGTACAAGGGGAATTCAAGCGTCGTACGTGACTGACGGCGGATACCGACGTAGCTGATGCCAGCCAGGCTTGGCGCGTTAAATCAGGGTTTTCGCGGTACAGGGATCTTGACATATGCTAGTGGGTACAACGACAACTCGGCCCGAACTTCCGCAAGGAGCATATCCCGGAGATCGTCCAGCTCGATCCATGAGCCTTAGATCGTGAACTTCAATCTTGACAAGGGAGTCGTTTGCGGGGTTCTCGCGCGCGAGCAAGCTTGCACCTAAGGCGCGTTGTTTTACGTGCAGGACAATCCTAGTCAGCATTACCTTGGATTCACGGGAGCCAAAACCCACGCATCTTGCTGCCCTGACAAAGAATTTGAAAAGAATCGGATACACGGCTGTTACCAAGTGGCTACTGGGCGAGGGTGGAAGGAGAGATCTGAAAAGCTCAATGCATGAATTATTTACTGATGAATCTTCACGGCAACCTAATAATCGCAGGGGAGTTCTGAGTTTCTTTCATCGCTAGTGGGTGCTACCTCATTCTCCCACCGACCTACGTATCTACAAACGACGACCCCAATGGATTCACACCATTGTCCAGTGTTCTCAACACAAGCTCGAGTGAGTGGCGTAGGTCGAAAGATCGCAACTGTAGGTGCAGCGCATACCCTCTGCTTTACCTAGAAGACAACTTACTTTTATTAGAAAGGGAGTATATTGATAGTAAGGCTTACGTTTTTTCTGCACGAGAACTTTTGACAGTCGCCGTAGTAGCTTCTCATCTGCTCATTGCAACTATTCTCCAAGGCTCAAGGTAGCGACGGCAGCAGCATTCCGGAACTTGAGGGGGGTACCTCATTACCAAAAAAAGCCACTGCCCTAGTCAAGATTTGGTCCGACGAAATAACTGATACTCCCGTGAAATGAGTTGCAAGCTTGTTGCCGGTACGGACCACGTTGACAAAACCCGGCCACAAGTAGGCTACGTTGGGGGCGTGTACCCATGGTTGATAGGCCCACGCACGACCTCCAACCGAGCTCTACACGTTGGAAGTCACGAGGCAACGGCAGTGTATGTCCGGCGAACGCAGGCAAGAGGGCAGCCGGCCATGTCAGACCTTATAGTCACGACTCACTGTCCAATCAATCTAAGAGGTTATCAAACTGCTCTTCTTCACAGGCTTCTGCACTCCCTCCTCAAATATATCACATTTGCATCCTTGTTCTACCCTTAAACTTCATATTGTCCTATTCCATACACTGTGCTCCATGCCCTTTGACGGACTGTGCTCGGCCGCAAAACCGCCACAAATATCGCCGCACTGATATGTGACCAACGCATTTCTCTTGCGACCGTTACTGCCGGTGGAACATGTGCAGAGAAGCTGGCTGACTTAATGGCACTCCTTCGTGTCGAATTGATGCCATCATGTTTACGGCACATTATTCATCGCTATTCTATTTCCTAAAACTACAGGTGTTCCCCCATCGCCCGCCCGTGTCTCTTCTCCTCTTCCTGCTCCTTCATGCTCTCTACCCTGTCTCCTCCATATTCATATCCACATCTAGAAAGTCACAAAGTACCAGCCTGGCCACTCTTCGCCTCGGTGCACAGGCTCTACTTTTACTCAAAATCGACGAGAGCTAAAACCACAACATAATCTCCATCAAGGCGGCCTGCGCCCACTCCTATTGCGCGCCTACCGCTCAACGCCACCACCTCCATTGACTTTCCTATCTTACCTATACCGCTCTCCTGAACTCACGTCTACTTCCACTGTCTCGCTTGCCGGCCCATCAGAACACCTTGAGAAACAATCTTCACCTCCTGCCTTGCCCTCCTATCTCTCGCTCTTCCACGCCCGTCTTTCATCCGACCGGCTCACCACTCCCCCGGTGGAAAAGTCCTGCGCGCGACTCTCTTGCCTGTTGCCCAAGCTATCTCCCTCGATTATGCTTGAGTCCGATGGGCCAAGCTGTCATGGTAAGCCTATTATTTTCCTCTGATTAGTGCTTGAGCATAGAATCTCATCGACACCACTTTACCATGTTTTGGCGAGGATCGGCGGATAAGGTAAAGAATTCATCGGGCGACCAAGCCAATTGGGCTGGCACTGCTATGCTACTGACATCCTATCCCCCTATCCACAGTCTAATGTTCCTAACTGACATTTGATTTCCCTCTCTGCTCCAGTAGCCGCTCACATGCTTTCTGACCACGAAGGGCGAACTCGTTCTGAGGGTCAGCAAGAAGAAACTCACTATCCCTCAAAATTCCAAAAGACTGGAAATATCAGCCATAATACCCAAAGCACTATTGACAAGTCCCGAATCCGAATCTCGTTCGATGGCGGACTGCCCGAGTATGATTCTTCGCCAAGGTTAGTCCTATCTATTATCCTAGGTTAACTGTACATAATGCCCCGAGAGTATTAGGGCATAGGTACATCTTTTGTCCAAAAGGCTAATGGTTTTTTTGAAGGTCCCCAGTCATGACGGAACATGACCATGGACTTGGCGTTTCCGGTCTGCGACGGATCCGACAGCAGCCGCCCATTCGCGCTCAGAGTCACTCGCGAAAAGAAACCACGACGCAAAAGTCTTCTCTTACGCTCGAGTTACCCAGTTGTCAATCGGCCTACGCAAATAACCCACCATCTGGAGCTTCCTCACCCACTCTCAACTTTACTGAAGACTTGTATCGTTTTCCTTCCGAATCATTACACTCTTTTTCCTTCGCTCGTCAGTCCGAAGAACTCGCCCAAACTCGTCAAAATGTCTTGAAGAGATCCCTAGAATTCCTGTCACAGAAGCTGGGATGGAGAAGTACCAATATTGGCATCGCAAATGCACTGTCTCACGCCGGGGCGGATAAACAGATCCACGGAATGGCTGAATTATTGTCTAGGGCGCAGCTACTTGGCGTAAATTCTATATCACGTTCAGGCCAGCCTTATTTGATAGGTCCTCTGACCGGCCCACCAGCTGCTCCTGAACAGACGAACAATGTATTCGATGAAAGCTTTGTAGGCGAATTAGGCTGTGCGCCACTTTGTTCGGAGAGTCCTATAGATAAATCACGAGTTGAAGCTTCGGAAACTGATCTAACAGCAAAGACTACAGGTAAAATACCTCTGGAAGAAGAATTGGTCGTGACTTCCCCTCATGATTCGGGCTCATCTTCGCGAACACCGACCAATGATAGTCTCGCTACCTCTCACGCTCCCCCACCCGCAACAAGAAGGCCTAGCTTTCGGAGAACTTGTACTGATACATCTCGGTTATCACTCCAGAACAAACTATTAGATGCGCTAGCTCAGCCTTACATTGCAAACGATAGACTGTCAGAACAGATTCTTCCCACAATCCCACCTGTATTTCAAGGTGCAGCTGGCCTTGCAGTATTCGGTTCTGCTGTTCATGGTCATTCAAGCAGGTGTGCTCCTGCTACCCAAGCAATCTTCACTACTGAAAGTGATCCACCGTTCACGATTCTCGCTGCGAACGACTTAGCTTGCTTGGTCTTTGGGGTGACAAAAGCTGAAGTCCGAAAAATGGGAATTCTCGAGGTCGTTCAGAAAGAAAAGAGAGCATGGCTTACCCAGAAGCTGGCTTCCTGGGAACAAGAACCAGTGTCAGATGATCATAAACATCCAAAGGCAACAAAATCTGAACGTCAGGACCGAGAAAATCCTTCTTTAGGGTTTCTATCAGGAAGATCTGGCGTCACAGCTAAGCTGCTTAGCAAGCCAAACTCTCGTCAACGTCGAAGTCAAAACTGCCCAAGCTCATCTGCCAGTCCAACAGCTAGTAGTTTTGATGACAAAACCAAGACGTTGGGGAATAACTTACCCTCCAATTCTAGCAGCAAGTCAAGAGGAGTTTTATTATGTGGTGATGTAATCCCGATTCTAAAACGTAACGGAGCTACCGGATCTGCCAGTTTATGGGTAAAGGAGAAGCGAGGAGGTCTAATCTGGGTGCTCGAAGAGATCCATAAAGATGTTGCCTTAATTCGATTAGATACCCAGGCAAAAGTATCATCAATTGAAGGAGCCTATGATTCAATTTGGGGTGAAAATGCTGCCCAGGTGGGCATAGATGTAGGAAGACTTTTACCTTGCATACCAAGGAAAGTACCTCACGGAAGAGGGCCAATTGATGGCGAGGAGGTTACGAGACAAAAGTACTTTACCGCTCTTAACTCTAACCAAATGCACATTCCCTGCGTCGTTGAGTCAATCCACGGCTCTACAAATCTGAGGATATCTAGCTTCCCACACATTGCCGGGATCTTAGTCTTGTCCGCTCAAACCTTGAAGATTACTAGTTCAAATTCTGTGTTTTCTGCTGCATTATTTGGAAGAGAAAATCCCGACGGAAGACATATCACAGATATCATCCCCGACTTTGAAAGGTTAATGAAAATTCTGGTAGATGAAGATAGGATTCATTTCGCAGACGGTATCGTCATTCCAGAATACAGTTTTCGCCGTGCTCAAGCATTCTTGGCGTTTCGTAATAACTTGCCTGGCGCAGCAAAATATTTCTCTAAGCCTGAAGGGCTACTCGCTAAGCATAGAGATGGTTCAGATATTATAATCGATGTACAGCTTCGCGTAGTAAAATCTGATCGCAAGGTTTCTGCACCTGTCAATGAACTTGCGAACATCGAACGTGATGAGAGAGTAATGAAGCCTATCGTATCAACTAAATTAGTTTATGCCTTATGGATCACCTACTCTCGTCATATATATGTTCCTGGCTCGGGAATTAATTTTAAGTCTCCCTCAATACCAGATACCAAGACTTCACACCGCAAGCAGCCTTCTCCTGGTCAAACCGAAGTAATTAATCCAATAGAGATGGAGCATGAGGGAGAAATTGGAAAGGAGCAGCATATTGCTTCCAAGTACACCCTTCACTCGCAGATGACAATGAGTAAAGCTATCACTAAAATTTCAAAATGCGATGCCGTAGTATCCCAGGCGGGGAAGGCGGAAACTGTTACAACCGCAGGTCTTGGACAGGTTCATAAGAAGTCCATCAATGACTTTATTATACTGGAAGAAATGGGCCAGGGCGCCTATGGCCAGGTTAAGCTGGCGCGTTATAAGAAAATTGGAAACCGAAAAACTGTCTTAAAGTACGTGACGAAGCGACGAATTCTCATTGATACATGGACTCGCGATCGGCGGCTTGGAACAGTACCGCTCGAAATTCACGTTTTGGATTACCTTCGACGGGATGGTCTCCAGCATCCTAACATTATCGAGATGATCGATTTCTTTGAAGACGATGTCAACTATTATATCGAGACAGTTCCACATGGTCTACCTGGAATGGATCTCTTTGACTATATTGAGCTCCGGGCTAATATGGGTGAGACCGAATGCAAAAGTATATTTGTGCAGGTTGCACAGGCTATATTTCATCTTCACACAAAAGCTCATATCGTTCATCGAGATATCAAAGACGAGAACGTAGTTTTAGACGGAGAGGGAAATATCAAGCTCATCGATTTTGGTAGTGCTGCGTACATCAAGAATGGACCTTTTGATGTATTCGTTGGGACGATCGGTAAGCGTTTTACCTGTTCATAAATTTGAGCAAATCTAATTCTCCCCTAGACTATGCGGCCCCCGAAGTTCTTGCTGGAAAGCCATATTGCGGCAAAGAGCAAGATGTTTGGGCTCTTGGCATCCTTCTTTACACAATTGTTTACAAAGAAAATCCTTTTTACAGTATAGATGAAATTATGGATCACGACCTACGAGTTCCGTATGTCATGAACGAAAATAATCTTGATCTAATTCGGGCCATGCTCAATCGAAATGTTGAATCTCGAGCTACTATAGAAGAGGTCTTGGATCATCCGTGGTGCAAGGTGTGCGATGAATCTAGATTTAACGTATGAAAAGGCTCGACAAATTTAGTACGCAAAAAAATTAATTGGATTGAAAAAACATACCAGAATTCTAACTCAATGAACCATACGAGGGATTAGGTCTTTCAATGAGACGCAAGAGATTCATGATTTATGATGAGGAGATGAACTTGGATGATGGGTCGGGCAAGTGGAATATATTTATCTAAATGATACCCGGGGAGAACTAGTATACGATGAGGTCTAGATAAAAGAATGGGAAGTGGGAAATTGGGTAAATTTGTGGCTCCTAGTTTAAAATAATGGTCCATCAGCTACATGAGGTGGCGTTGGGGCTTGTTTTTTTTAGATGAGGGACCTCGAGATACATAGAGGCCTCTTCACAGCGAATACTTATGATTTAGAATGAATAATAAAGCAGCTCTTGAATACAGCGTGGCCAATATAAGTGGTCATATATGACAGTAATTACCCTGCAAGATACAGCTTTCAAGTCAGCTGTGTAAAAGCGTAGATATTGTAGGGAATTAAAGGTTCTCGACAAGCACAAAGTAGATTGGCTCGTACTAGTTAGGAGGATAATATAGCAAAATGAGTATTTGTGGGAAGATTGAGTCCAATTCATAACAGAAAGTAGTCATGAAGAAAGCTGTGTTCAGGGAGTGCTCAGACGATTAGACGAAGCAGAAGTAGCAGCGCTTGGGTCCATGAGCACAAACAGGTTTCTATGTATTGGTAGTGGCAAACCTTTCTATTGGATAAAATCAGATATACTCATGATGAATTACCAAAAATGCCTGTCCCTGTCCAGCAAAACATCAGCAGGGCCCATAGTAGCACAGACAAATAAAAAGCGAGCAAGGCGAGCGAAAACTCAGCACTAGCCAGCGGCGTCCCCCTACGAACATTCAGTCCTCACTAAAGAGTCAATATAGTCGAGATTGAGTGACATAATCGTCTCCGCATGGATGAGGATTCCCAATCACTTTCGCGGTCTAAATCGTCAACATCTTTTGGTACATTCCCCTATCACCATTATCATGAAGCTAACCACCATCATATTAGAAATCAGGGTCGAAGCCCTTCTAATTGCCAAGCCTTGATTAAGGAGAAGGTATCCGTTGAGTTTCCAGAGCACACCTAGTAACAATGCGGCAGCGTTCGATTGGATCAACTGGGCCCCTTTTACAAGAAAGGGAGATATAGGTGGAACCTCGTACCTCGCCTCGCCGGAGCTGCAAAGTTTTCGATATTTTTTCTGGGTAGAAAATTCCACGGAAAAAATATTGAATTCTGCAGGTAAACTCTGAGACAAATGGCTACCCACAATGGGCATTATATCAGAGATATTTTTATGACTAATTTAGCACCCTGAAACCAACGCAAGAAAAGTATCCGGCTCATCATTTCCTTGTGTCGAAGAAATGCTTCTGGAGAAACGAATCTACGGTGCTGATCTTGATATCTGTGCCTAAAAGTAGAGCAAATGGTTGGAAATTCAGACTCTTAGTGATAGAGCTCATCCATATGTTACATGCCTCGGCTACGTTAATAGTACCCATTGCTGCATACAAAGAGTGGCTGGTAATTGCGAGATATGATGTGTGGCACGTAGATGCAACGCGTGCCATAGTATATAAGTCTTCTATACTCTATCATTAGATATCCCTCTAAAGTCGCATAGAGCAGATTTCAATTGCAAGTGACCATGGCCTGGCCCAGACGGGCCAAGGAACGGTTTAAATTACTAGTGGAGTCGAAATAGAGAATTTCAAAGTTGCCATGCATAGCACCAAAGATTTGGCTGGAATTACACATTGGATTCAGAAGATACGATAAGGGCTACTTTGGCGGACCTGAGAAACCGAGACTGCAAGCAGGCAATAGAGGAAGAGAGTAAAGTGACAGAATCAATACTTCCTGCAGTCAAATTGGTACTGGCGCAGAACCAAAGCTGAAAGCCGAATGGGTGTTAATCGTCTAGTCCACCATATAATTTAGGCAGTTTGATAGGCACCCACTTGGGCCCGTGGGACGCCGAATCTGGCTAGATTAACCAAATTCTAAAGTGGAATAGTGCCAAACTGAACAATCCAGGAGAGAACTCATGAGGCAATAGCCGCAGTGCTGGATGGTAGGCTGATGATGCTCAAGACGGCCGGGTCTTTTCGGATCAGCTAGCATCGGGTACAAGAGCCTTGTCCTACCCGACACTTCACTAGTCTACACCTTTATTCTTCCTTTCTGTTGGAACAGCATCTATAGCTTGGTTTACTTGGAGTTGGTGGTTCTTCGTTTACATGCAGACGATTTCCTTCGTTGTGGATTTCGTCATTCGGATAATACTTTATCCGAATGCAACCTAGTTAATATCTTGTAGCATCATTGTAAACAAGATAACGAATGAGCCATGAATGCGCATTTCTTCTGAACGATAGTTCGAAATACTTACAAAAGTTCTCTCATAACTTTAAGTGAAATAATAGACTTTTAGTGTATGACCTTTGTCATACCAACACTTTCGGTTGCAGTATCTGATTCGTTTATCCGCGTGATATTTCCTTTATCGGAGGGTCTATTTTTTTTTTTTGCATCAGATTTTGATTGCGAATGCAGCTATCTAGCTATGACACAATATCAAAGAAGAGTACAGAATAGGTGATTCATCGTTAAGGAAAAGCACTCATGCCTCAGATTTCATTTGCAAGTACCACTGCGAAGTTATGGTGGCTTTTTCTTCACCCCAAGTCAACCCTCATCCGTGAATACCCACCCAGGGGAACGTCTCAAAAACCCTGAGTTATCCAGACATGCCTCCGTCATCCATCAACTTTTCTCCGCGCGAAATGTAGTCTTAGGCGTCTCCTTCCCAAGTGAAGTAGGTGCCTAGGCTACTCAAACTATACCAGAGAACACCATCAGGAGGCGGATCATGGCACCTTCCATCGTTAGCTCGTTTTTATAGTGTCGGCTGCCCTCTCGCAAGCATAGTCTTGGCTCGCACAAAGCTTGATTTGTAAAACTCCTTGCCAAAAATCGAAATTTCACGCCTGTCGAGACTGTACCGATCATCTGCACCATTTCGTGGACTTGTCCTGATCCCTCTCACGTCCATCCCAAAGAGCTATCTCTAAGATTTGTGCGCCACGCTTTGCTTCCTCCGTCGGGTATAAATATCGGCGTGGGCGTGTATTTGGTGGTCAACTGAGGTCAGAGAGGGTCGAAGAGAGGTGTGGTCATTGGGATGAGGATGTACTTGGTCGTACTTGTAGACTTGATGAGACTTAGGTAGGCGTCAAACTCGTTGGGAGCGAAAAAACGACGTGGTGGAGTAATTTGAAAATTTGCCTCATGGGCTAACTTCTTTGATAATGCGAAATTTGGCCGAACTTGGCTCTGGGAGAATATTTCACTCCCAGGTTCGTAAAGGACACCGCGTACAGGTGTTCAGTCTTGCCCTCCGGAGGGTCAGCTTAGTGCGGCTCAGTACGGTGACCTTTGGATGGCCACTCGTGTGGCTCATGCGCGCGCGCGCGTTAAATGCAATGCGCACGTGCTCTATCTCAATCTATCGTGAATCTTGCGACCTCCCCTCTATTCCATCTGACCTAACTTTCCTGATCGGTGCGCCTCACGTCCCAACTTCATACTTCAACACGGCCCGCGCTCTGCTGACGATATCATGTATTACTGCAAGCATACGTGCTGATGACCAAAGTTCCCAAGCCGCATGCTTCAAAGATATCAAAAACAACCCCTGGCTAAGGTCACTCCAGCTCCAAACACGCGACCACCAGAACTCAGACTAATTGTGAGCTGCTTACAATCACTAATTCACTCCAAATCCTTGCGTGTCACTTGCTTTCCCTCGACGGCCATGATAAACGATATCGCTACATTATTCTTGGAAGGGCAAAACGCCGAATCGTAACATCTACAAACCCATCTTCCAGCTATCGCTGACCTTGTAGTACTTGAGGAGTCAGTAACTGCTTCACAACTCAACATTGATGCAAAATTACGCCCCCCCCCCCTCTGCCTGCTCCATAAAATACCCTGTCCTACGCTAATATGGTGAAGAAAGTCTCGCCTGTCCCAAATTATTGATAAGAAGTTGATAGAAAAGCTGCGCCCTCTATCATAAAATCTAGGATCAATTCGGGAGTTATGGTCCGCCTATCGCTGGACTGCCCCCTGCCACACGGAAAATACCTCGTACACACGGAGCTGGAAGTCTTTGCAACTTGCAGAACTAGTCAACGCTTTCTGCTTGGTCCCGTCTGTCATCCCTCTCGTGACTACCTCCCCAGCCCAAGCTCTAATGTTTCTTCAAGCTGCCGTTTACCTGCAGCCTGTGGTAGGAATTACTGCTCATCAAAGGCAGGCAACATGAGCAATCTTCCATCTCAGCCTGGTTACGAGACAAAGGAATAACTCAGTCTAAATTCCCAAGGCACTACCTGCCGGTTAAATGCAGTAGGAATAAATAACCACCAAAATTGATACTGAGTTAATACACTTCATCTTATCGACGAGCCGCCACTAGGAATCCTGCGTGGATGGAAGTAGTCTAACTTGGAATTACTTGTATGTAAGAGCCTTGGTCAATCTACAACGTTCGATGAGCTGTGAAAAATTGGTGAGGGCTGTTTAGGTTTGGTATATTTTTTCGGATATTTGAGTAGACGCCCCAAGAAATAAATCAACGTCCCTGGAGTGGCCTAGTCTTGATACAATGTAGCAGGATAATTATGCGCTCTATCATGATGTGCAGATGCTCGCAGGAGAAATGCCTATAAACAGAGGGCTTTTTAGATTAGAACAGGAAAAGAACTGAATACACTTTCATTTTACATTTTCCGCATGACTCACAGGGTCTAACAGAACCCTTCAATTGTTAATCTCTAAGCGAATTTGAGAAAAACTTCCGACTAGCAACCGCCGTTGCGCTAATGAGGTCTTTGTTCGACCAGGTAAGGAGGGAATACGCATGTCAAGTCATGAGAGACAGAAATCCCGGCTCTCTCTAC